CCCAGTTCCGGCGTCCCTGGATTTGACTTGAAATCCCAAGGTTATAATAAGGTGCTAACCACACGTCAACAACTTCCAACATCACCCCAAGCAATTCTGTTGCTGCCCTTTATACCGACGGAGCGAACGCCTTGAGCAGGCGTCTTGTTTGAATAACAAAGGTATCAGTTTTTTTTACTCACCCTGCAGATAAAAGAATACTTAAATTTGTCTAAATTATGAAAATGGTCTATTTGTTTGAAAGATATAGTGACAAATAAAGTACTGTCATGTACATAAATTAACAGACCTGCAAATCGTTTGGGTTTCCACTCGGCAGTAGCTTTTGACTGGGGTGTTAAGCTCGTCATCAGATAATTCTGCAAACACAAGACACATGTTTGAGCTAATTTTATAACATTAACATACCCATGACTGCCATGAACGACAACAAAGCGTATTATTTATACATTCCACGGCAAAATATACCAATAAACTTACCTCCAGGCGGTTCTTCCTGAAAATATTCGTCTGTATTATCCATAGAATCAGCAATGACGAGTGCCAAATAAAAAAATTCGAGAAAAAGCAGCTAAAACTTTGCAGTATCTTCGATTCTTCAGAAGTCGGTCGAGATTATTCAGATATCGGTCAAAATCTCCCAGGCTCTTCCCTTCCTTGCCGCAACCTCCCCAAGAATCCCCGCGCGCCTAGCTCACTCAGAGCTCTGAACGCTATTAATTACTAAACCCCGCGCGCCTAGCTCACCCAGAGCTCTGAACGCTATTAATTACTAAAGAGCCTGGGTACGAGGCTGCCTTAGTGTGTTCTTCTAAATGGATACATGAAATCACCTATAGCTTATTTTTAATTTTTGGCGCCAAGTTTGTGACGTAATTAACCTGCAAAGAGTAGCAGTTCCAAAAACAAAAAACATACGATTTGTAAGAATGATCTTCTATATGTTCATTGGAAATTTAGTAGAAACGGGATGAAAATTAAAGAAGTTGAAGCATATTGACGATTTTGCATGCATTTTTGACAGGCATGGAAAGAAATTTGCAACAGATGCCAGGAGATACGTTGGGTGGGGGGCGAGGTTCTCTGGGGTTCCAGCCATTGAAATAATAGATATAGAATGCGTACTCCTATCTTTTCGCAGTGAAAAATTTGTCTCCACAAAATGGCGGATTTATAAGGGCATTTTGGTTGGTCCGAGACTCCTGAGGCGGGGAATGTCGCGCGGTTGCAGGGAGTGTGAATTGTTTTTTCAACTGCAAAGTTTGCAAAAAATTTTATATCGAGATTTAAAATGGAAAAAAGGTTTACAAAGAAGAAAAAGTGTATAAACACCCATTTTAGTCGGCTTTTTTACGAAAAGCAACAGTTCTGAACAGAATATATACAGAAATCGTTGTTTAAAAATAAATTTTCAACGTTGTTGTGCAAGCCAAAACAAAACCTGAAATATCAAGAGAAACTCATACTCAATAGGTATGTTCTACAAATATTTCAAATCTTTTATAATATAAATCAAGTTCAATAATCTTTTTAAACTTACACAATTACTTTTCGACATATTTTTCTACGTTGCTTGAGCTTGAGGCAACGCTTTTGAAACCATAGTTTCCGACGATTATTTAGACAATTTACATCGACAACTAAATATTTTTGTTTGAAGAACATGTGAAACACGTACTTCATTTACATTGAAGAAAAACGAAACCCGCCGACGAAGAGAGAACTAGCTATTATTTTGTAATCTTATATAAAATATTAGCAAAACAGTGAAGTAGTGACGTTCATAGCATGCAAAATTGTTTTACGAGTAAATTATATTTACGCGAAACTACTTTGTTTTTACAAAGTTGCACTATTTTTACCGTATTTTGGAACTGCACAATTGCTTTGACAGTTTGTGCCTTCAAAGAACTCAAAATCTATCCCCAAACTACAAATTAGACAACAAGACAAACGTTTTGACGATAAAAACGTAGTTTTAGCTTTGTTTATATTTTGTATTTGGCACTCCTAGACAAATTTAACATGGCGGATTAATAAGGGCACGCATGAGAAAAAGTGGAGACATGATTCGTGATCAAGTACGCATTCTATATCCATTATTTCTATGGTTTCAGCACATAACCCTGATGCAGGAAATTCCGGCCACTATATGAACATGTTCAAAACTGCAACTACGCTGAATGATGGACAACAACAACCTGTTGATGATTTCGCCCCTAGAACTAACCTAAAACGGTTTTTTTTAAAGACGGTGCCATTTCATCTGGCGATGGTGAGGTGAAAGAAGCAGCAAATCGGTATTTTTGTTGAGGAGAAGCACGTGCTTGAGTATATCAGACATCTTCAGAAAGTGCAAGTTGTATCTGCGATAAGAGAGAATTCCGGATTGTACTCCTTCCATTCCGGATTCTAGGGGAGGGGTGGATTTGGAAATTTTAAAAACTTGTGGGGGGAGGCATCGAAAATTTACCAATAAGCTCAACAGGGGCCCTGTAAAAATATGAGCTTTTTTCAAGACATCTTCATCCTCCCCTCCTCGGCGTAATAAATGTACTTTCCCTTAACATTTCGAACCACAGTTGGTGTATTATTTTCCTCAAGTTTTTGAATTGATTCAAAATACTTTGGTTTTTTGCAGTTAACATATTCTACATGTACATGCCTAAATAATTTATTTGTTTGCGGCCGTACATTTCCCAAACCGATATTATTTTTCTTC